AAAAAAAAAAAAAAAGCTATGAGGTGAAAGACTGCCAGGAAATGAGACATTCATACAGTATACGCTGATTATGTATTAATTATAAAGGAGAAAGGTATCATTACAACAGAGAAATCATTAACCAAATGACCAAATTCATTACCAATGACAGAGAAAATCGGCATCATGTGCCCACATGACAATACCCATGGCTTGCCAAGAATATTTAGCCCCAAATCAAAATAGGTTTATATCAGGAAAGACAGAAAAGGTGAGGGAGCCATTCAAGAGTAAGGGAAGGAAACAATACACCTGACAGCCAAAGGCAATGCATGGTCTTTGACTGGATACTGGTTTGGAGAAGAAAATCACTATAAAGGATACTTGGGGAAATGCGAACATGGGCTGTATGTTACATAATAGTACTGTGTCAGCATTATATTTCGTGATTGCTGACGACATCATGTGTGGTTAAGTAGAATGCCTTTGTTCTTATGATACACATGCCAAGGTATTTAGGTATTTATTTAACAGAAGCTCTCAAATGGCTCAGCCAAAGAAAAAGCTGAGAGAGGGGCAAACAGGACAAAATGTTAACATTTGTTGTACCTAGGCGAAGGCACACAGGTATTCATTGTACTGGTCTTGCAATTTTTCTAAAGGTTTTAGTTGTTCAAAATAATAAACTGGAGACAGAAAAGCAAGCTGGGTTTGAATTCTCGTTTTATCTTCTTACGTCGTCTTAGCAGAGAATAAGCCAAATTCCCTTGAATTTAATAAGCTAAAATAAATTAATCTTGACTTAAAACCAAAGAAACACAGATTTCGGTGTCCTTCGCCCTCAAAAGCATTGATAGTCACCAGATCCAGGTCAGAGATCTGCCAGCCCTGGATCTCCTTTCCCACTGGCAACCACCAGCTGGCACTGACAGAGCTGTTCCATGTGGATGGAGCATGATGTCTGGTTCCCAATGGGCCCCTCCACTCCATCTTCTACCTGACACATGTATTCACTTATGCTTTCGTTTCTGTTGTCTGCCTGGTCTCTGGGAGCAACTGAATCAGAGACAAGAGGCAAAGTTTTAGCAATGGTGGGACAAGCTTGTGCTCATTGCACCAAGACCAATCCCCACAGTGCAAAGCACAGAACTGTTGGTACTGACCACAGGTTAGTCTCTGACTGGCTTTTTATAGGTTCACAGAGACATCATCTGTGATGACGGGTCGACTTGTGTCCCCCTAAAATTCATGTGTTAAAGTACTAACCCCCAGCATTCCCAGAATGTAACCTTATTTGAAAACAGAGTATTGCAGATGCAATTTAGTTAAGATGAGGTTATACTTGATAGGATGGGTCCCATAATCCAATATGAGTGGTGTCCTTATAAAAAAGGGAAATTTAGGGGCACCTGGGTGGCTCAGTTGGTTGAGCATCCAGCTTTTGGTTTTGGCTCAGGTCATGATCTCATAGTTCATGGGTTCAAGCTCTGCATCAGAATCTGTGCTGACGGTGTGGAGCCTGCAAGGAATTCTCTCTCTCTCTCTTTCTCCCCCCACCCCCACCCCTCCCCCACCTCTCTCTCTCCCTGTCTCACTCTCTTTCTCAAAATAAATAAATTTTTAAAAAATTTTAAAGGGGAAATTTGGACACAGACAAGCACACAGAGAAAGCATCCTGTGAAGATGACAACACAAGTCAGGTTGCTACTTCTACAAGCCAAGAAACACCAAAGACCACCAGCAAATACCAGAAGCTAAGAGAGAGGCCTAGAGATCATTCCCTTATGGTTCCTGGAAAGAACCAGGCCTACCAACACCTTAATCTCAGACATTCAGCCTCCAGAGCTGTGACATAACATATTTCTCTGGTATAAGCCACCCACTTTGTGGAACACTGTTATGGAAGCCATAGGACACTCTCCCATCCGCCCACGTGGCTGCCCACATGCCCACACAAGTGAAACGCAGAGCTGACAGGTGAGCAGATTCTGGAGACAGACCAGCAGGGCCATCTCTGCCATTTACTAGTTCTGCGGACACGGGCAAATTCCAAACCATACTATTTCCCTGTCACCTCGCCTCTGCAACAGAAGTAATAACAGGGTCCACTCATAGACCTGCTGTGCATGTTAATTCAGTTAACATCTGAGAAGCACTTAAAACAGAGCCTTTACTTGGCAAATGCTGTGTTTCTTCTTCTTCTTCCTCCTCTTCCTCCTCTTGCTCCTTCTCTTCCTCCACTTGCTCCTCCTCCTCTTCTCCTTCTCCTTCTTCCTCTTCTTCATCATCAATCTTTCTCTGGCTATAACTTTGTTCTGAACTTTGGAAGATCTCAAGTAAAGGTGTTTTTGTAGTGGGAAACTCTTTGGACCAAGAGAGAACCCCTACCTGGCTTCTAGGTCCTGCTCTGCCCCAGCCAGAGCACAGCACCTCTCTAGGCCTCCCTTTCAGTCCTCTTTTGCAAAATGAAAGACTGAAAGCTGATCTCCAGTCCTGGCCCCATGTTTTCTTCTGGTTCCAGGCTGACAGAGTTCAAGCAGGCTCTGCAGCCCTGTAGGCTGTGTGGTTAGAGTTTTTGGTATGCCAAGGACCCTACAGTAGGTTCTCTTGGGAATCTAAACTCTAAATTTATGTCATTTAGTTGAGTTTTTAGTTATATTTTTTAAAATATAAGACGTGGTGCCTTCAAATACACTGTGGATTTGTTGGGAGAAAAGAAAGAAAGGAAAGAAAGGAAAGAAAGGAAAGAAAGGAAGGAAGGAAGGAAGGAAGGAAGGA